AAAAAAATCTGAGGTCTAAAGCAGTCTATGCATGTCTAAACGCATCACATGTTCTGAGCCCCAATGTACATGGGCTACAGAAACAGATGCTTGTTTCATACCCACATGTAGCGCAAGAGAATAAACTATCACTGCATGATAACCTGTTAATAATATCTTCTAGTCATGTCCTTATCTCATGATGAAATTGAAAATACCAGTTTTCAGGTGAGTTGAAAAACATTTTACTACAATGAGAAGTGACAGTAGAATATGAATGTACACCCCATTAACATCTCAAGAAAATGAGAAGGGTTTAGAGGCAATGATCAAGTATCAGCTACATAAATGAAAATGGAAAAAGGTTGTAACCCAAATCTACCACATTCCTTTTCTGTTACTACACAACTATATATATTCCAAGCTCCATTGTATACATTGTATACAAAGGAGAATATATGAGTGTGTGTCTAGATAGATAGACAGACGACTTCTGATTAGTCGTTACAAAGTATCACATTATGAACTATTTCTGTGCTTTTACTGTTATTTTTGTGCCATTGCAAATTACAGGAAATGCTCTCTGGTTCCCCCAAATGGCCAGTGCAGATACTACACCATGAAATATATATTTAAAATGCATGACACACAAAACAACCATTTCCAATTGCAGAATGAAACAATCACTCTGTGTGACTTCTTCCTTATCCTCTCCTATTTCACTGTTAATAAGCCCATAATAATGTGTTAAAATATTAATAAATAACAAGCAAACAACTGCTCTACCAAAAAAACAAAAAAAAAAAAAAACAAACAAACCAATACAATCATGCCTGTTATGGGCAAAATAGCATTGCCTAAAATGTGTGCTTAAAATGTACTTGTTTTAGTAATGTTTAGTAGCCTGGTATAAAATGCTGACTATCTTGCCTCAATGCATTAGAATATTGGAATAATATAAAACATTGAACATTGATACAATGATCGATATTTATACGTATTTTTGATGGTTAGCACTATTAGTTTAATTCACGAATTCTCTCCACATACACAATACTTCATATGAATTGACACGATTTTGAAAAACCTAACAGCTTTTTCACACATAGAAGCCATCACAATTCCACAATCAATAAGCAAACATCAGTGTGTGACCCAACCCTACCCTATAAAATACAAACTTGCAGCACTCTACAGAAAACTTGTGCAAACAGAGAAGCTTGTATCTTGAGCTGCAGCATACTTAGTTCATGATAATTAAAACTTAAATACAGATTTCCTATATATTTATGGCATATAAATTATATACATTTTATGTTTAGAACACTACTCTTATATGAATATGCATGTAATGTGTGAATGCACATGGTTTGCCAAATTGCTAAGTCTTATTTAGAAATCAATGAAACTTAAATGTTGATTTGTCAAGTTTCCATTGAGTCAATACTTCAACTCTATTTAGGACAAATCAGTCAATTTAGTCCTTTTGGGTCACTAGGAGGATCACCAGATACTTATGCAATTGCTTTGAAATAACATTATTATTGTTAAACAGCGTTAACATAATGAAAATACTAGATATGTGTCTGTGATGCCATTTATTGACTGTGCATCTCAACATCTTCTTTTGATGACAGTATTGCCTCCAAAACTAGACAAAGTTGGGGATATGTTATGCATTATAAAAGATTTTTCCTGCAAAATGTGATTGTATGCAGACCTGATGCCTTCATCCCAGCATCCAAAGAGCTTACTGCTTCTCCCACCAGATATCTTCAATGAACTGTTTAAGACTTATTATCTGTGCAGTAGCAGACCCAAGTGCAATTACACACCACAAACACATGTACAGAATAACCAATGACATGCACCTTTCATTAAGACTATTCCCAGTAGAATTGATATACAGGTAAATTCAGTTGCTTTTGGATAAAAGGAAACTTCTCTCCTATGAGTTGCTTTTGTGGAAAACGAGCTCAATCAATCTGATTCTTATCAGTATCTGCAACAGGGAATCAAACCACACACTTAAGTGTGTTGCTGCATATGAACTTTCCAGCTGTAGAATAAACAAAATACACCTCCAAATCTTAATTAGGAACAATACATTTAAATTTAAAATACTACCCTGTGTTTTATAAACAAAGAAACCTCAAGTGACTCCACTTGAATTTTCCTCAAAACATGTCGGTAGTAAAGAAGCTGGTGCAAATAACTGAAAACAGTGTCCTTATTTAAATGTCTCTGAAATGCTTCCCCATAAATCTCTCTGAGGTTCAAAAAGTGTGATGACTTCAACAAATGACAGGAGTCCCAAAGTGTGTGATTAAGATGGCAAACATACACATCACAAGTAGGAGAAATGCAATTAGTTCTTCCACTAAAACAAATGGAATACACAACTTTCAAAATATAAAAAGAAATAAAATGTTGTGCTGTTGAAGGCTTTCATAGCCGGAATCACTGGGTTGCAACCTCAGAGGATCTCACAACCTTTGAGGATGCCTACTATAGATGTGGGTGAAATGTCAGGAGAGAATGCTTCTGAAACATGGCCATATGGCCCAGAAAACTCACAGCAACCCAAAGAAAATGTTTTCAGAGAGTCTGTGAGAACAGCTAAGAATCCAAATATCACAAGCTACCAATACTACAAGACAACCTAAATATCCTAAAGGCAACTGATCTTGGAAGCTAAGCAGGGTCGGGCATAATTAGTACTTGAATGAGGGACCACGATTGAATACCATGTGCTACAAGCTTCATTTCAGAAGAAGGACCTGGCAAAACCACCTCTGAGTCATTTTTGCCTGAGCAAACCCAATTAAACTAATGGGGTCACCATAAGCCAATATGCAATTTGAAAGCACACACACCCTTATACTACACAGTGAAGTCTAGGTACATTCATACATCACACAATTTTCCTCAGGTGTTTCGAAGGAAAGGACCTCTTGCAAAGCATCATACACTCTTTGAGATATTTCTATGCATTCTTAACTCAGTCCAATTGCATCAAATTTTGTCTGAAAATTCAAAGTACTTCTTTTGAATATTTCCATGTCCAATTTCATCTTTAAACTTTCAGGCATTTCCATAAAGTGTTTGGTATTTTCTTTGGAAAGAAAGATTTTAGTTTTTAAACTGGAAAGACTTTTCTTCTTTCTCTTACTCAAAGTTGTTCCGTGAAAATTAGATGAACTTTACAACAAAAACATTCAAAAGGCACTTTTCTTTGCAGGAGAAATTCAGATTTCATCCTGCACAGAAAGACACTGTCTTTTCAGAAGCAAGTTCAGGCTAAGACACTTCTGCAGTATTGTAAAAAATGGAAATACTTTGCAAAGTATATTTCAGAATATTGGTTGTTAACCTAATGAGAGTGTATTTGTTCATCACATCATTGTAATACACTGCTGTTTCTCTGAGTGACTATCCTAACAAAAATATTCCTAACTGTGAGAGCTGTTCAGCAGAGGAACTCTCTGCCCCGGAGTGTGGTGGAGGCTCCTCTTTTTTAGGCTTTTAAACAGAGGCTGGATGGCCATCTGTCGGGGGTGCTTTGAATGTGATTTTCCTGCTTCTTGGCAGGGGGTTGGACTGGATGGCCCATGAGGTCTCTTCCAACTCTATGATTCTGTGTCTTTTCAGTTCCACCCAAAAAAAGAAAATCAGAGATACCCAATAAAATGTGTGGATGAACATGGACTTCTCTCTTAAGAGTCAACACACTTGCCTGGCAAACCAAAGGTCACTGTGAGACAACAAAACGAGCAAATAGAAAGTCATTTTTAAGCACCTCATTGACATTCTCGGAAAGCCCCGCTTCTCCAAACAGGTCAATTCAACTCTGAACTACCAAATACATAAATAAATAAAGAGTGCAAGCCACAAAAGGATTCAACACCCGCCATAAAACTGGTCCCAAGGCTGGAAGGACAGAGGGATACAAGTGAATAACAACAACAATGTCCTGGGTGAAATGAGAAGAACAGCTTGCGAGGCGGGGGGGAAGTGAGTGGACACTGAAATTGCATGTTGTGCGGTTTCTCCAGAGTGCTTAAAGTCTAAGCAATAATGACTCTTCTCTGACTCCAAGGCGTACATTAACTTAGCTGATCCTTCTCTCCTCCACCCCTTCCCGTTTTCCTGCCCACAAAAGTGTGATGTTATTAAAGGCAAGGAAGGAAGGAAGGGAAGGAAGGAAGGAAGGGGAAGGAAGGAGAGGAAGGAAGGAAGGAAAGGAAAGAGAAGTAAGGGAGAAAAAGAAGGAAGGATGGAAAGGAAGGAAGGAAGGGAAGGAAGGAAGGAAGGAGAGAAGGAAGGAAGGAAGGAAGGAAGGAAGGAAGGAAGGAAGGAAGGAAGGGAAAGGAAAGGAAAGGAAGGAGAAAAAGGCAGGAAGGAGAGAAGGAAGGGAGAAAAGGAAGGAAGGAAGAAGGAAGGATGGAGAGGAAAGAAGGGGAGGAAGGAAGGAAGGAAAGGAAGGAGAGGAAGAAAGGAGAGAAGGGAGAAAAGGAAGGAAGGAAGGAGAGAAGGAAGGAAGACAGGAAGAAAGGAGGGAGAGAAGGAAGACAGGAAGGAAGGGAAGGAAGGAAGATAGGGAGGAAGTGGAGGAAGGAAGGAAGGAAGGAAGGAAGGAAGGAAGGAAGGAAGGAAGGAAGGAAGAGGAAGGAAGGAAGAAGAGGGAAGGAAGCCAGGGCACTTTTCAGCCCCTGCGGGCCCAAGGCTTCTGCTCTCCGCGCACTTTGCATCTGCCACAATGGCAAGGCTTGTGTGTGCGCCGGGGGCAGTCCGTTCCCTTTTGAGTCCCGCCGCTGCCAAGCCCAAGCGAGGGATGTGACATTATTCTGACTGGAGAAGAAAGGACGGCAGAGGCGGCGGCGGCGGCGGCGGCGGCATCCCCCTCGATCCCCGGGGCGAGAGCATCCAAAGCGAGAACCTCTTCTCCTCTTCTGAAAAGAAGACCCGCAAGCCAAGGAAGGCAGGCAGGAAGGAAGGAATGAATGAAACCTCCAACGTACCACATTCTAGGAATTCCTCAAAATCTCCCCACGGTGCCGATTCCTCTGCTGCTGCTGCCGTGGCTCTCTCTCTCTTTCTTTTGGAGGCAAGTGCGCGCGCCAGCCGCTTCTCCCCCGAAAGGCACACACACAGCCCCACGGGAGACCCCTCCTCTTCTCCCCCTCCTCCCCTCTCTCTCCTCCACCCCTCCTCTCTCTCCTTCCCCCCTCCCTTGATTAACCCTGCCCTTCACTCCCCCTCTCCGCCGCACATGGCCCTGGAGGAGCGCCCGGCGGGTTCATTGCCTTCCCCGCGCGCGACAGGCAGGGAAAAGAGGGAGCGCGCGCCGGCCGGCCCCTTGCGCGCGCCCTCGTGTGTGTGTGAGCGCGCGCGCTGCCTCCCTCTTTCTCCGAAGCCTTTTTTTCGCGGGGCCCTTGCGAGTGCGTGGGACACACACACACACACACACACAAGGCGAGGCGGCCACGCTCCTTACCGGGAGGAAGGGCAGAGGGGAGGGGCGAGGCCACGCCGCAGCCGGGTGTCAGTCACCGTTCATGATCAATGCCCCAACGAGGAGGAGGAGGAGGAGGAGGTGACAGGAGGACGAGAGGAGCAGCAGCAGCAGCAGCCAAGGGGCGCGTTAAAGAACCAGCTGCTGCTCTTGCCCAAGGTGGCCTGGCGGTTGCCAAGTGGCTGCTCGGCTGGCGGCAAGCCCGGCTCGCCCTCGGGGAGGAAGGGTGGGCATGCTGAGGCCAAAGCGGCCGGGCGCTACTCCTCCTGCTTCGCCCTTGTCTCGATGTCTCTTGGGCTGCTGCTTCCATCGACTCCAAATCCCGGAGAGAGAGAGAGAGAGAGAGAGAGAAAAGGGAGGAGAGGAGATGGAGGAAGAGGAGGAGGAGGATGCTCCTTGTTTGAGGAAGGAGGGCGGCAGGAGGAGGAGGAGGATGCCCTTCCCGCCGCCTCTGGGCTCTCCCTGGCCCAGTGGCCAAAGGCGGAGAAGTGCCCGTTCCTCCTCCTTCCCCTCCCCAAAGTAAGCTCCCCCGGACATCTGTCCTTCCTCCTCAGAGAGTGGCCAAAGAGGGTGGGCCTCCTCCTCCTCCTCCTCAGGGCTGAGGCACAAAGAGGTGCCCACTCCCAACTTCCGCCTCCGCCTCGGCTCCTTCTCCCCTTCCATTCCCTTCTCCCAAATAACTGTCCTTCTCCCTCACAGAATAGGCCAGGCATGGGCACAACTTCGGCCCTCCAGGTGTTTTGGACTTCAACTCCCACCACTCCCAACAGCCGGTAGGCTATTAGGAATGGTGGGAGTTGGAGTCCAAAACACCTGGAGGGCCGAAGTTTGCCCATGCCTGGAATAGCCCTTCACCCCAGAGGTGCCTATTCCAACTTCCGCCCCAGTCTCCGCTTTCTCTCTTCTTCCTTCCCTTTTCCACAGAGGGAATGGGCAAAAGAGATTGTCCAAGGCTAAGGCCATGGTAGTGCAAACGGTTGAACCACTAGCTTCAGAAAAACTTGCTGACCAGAAGGTTGGCAGTTCAAAACTGAGGGTTGGGGTAAGCTCCTGCTGTTAGCCCTAGCATTGCCCATGTGCCACTCTGTGACTAAGGGTTTCCCAATTTCACAGTTCTCCCCTCATTGCCACTCGCTGATCGCCATGTGACTTTTGTTGGTTTGTTTTTATTTTTCTTGGAGGACGCCTGTGTGTGAGTTTTTTTTAATGTGTGAAGGTCAGTGCACAACTGATCAACACACAGCCTTCACAGAGTGAGGTTGAAAATGGAATGTTGGTGGGCAGGAAAAGAGATTTAAAGATGGGCTCAAACCTTAAAAACTCTGGCATAGACACTGAGAACTGGGAAGCCCTGGCCCTTGAGCACTCCAGCTGGAGATCAGCTGTGGCCAGCAGTGCTGGAGAATTAAAAGAGGCACAAATGGAAGGCAAAAGAGAAAAACGTACCCAGAGGAAAGCATGTCAAGCTAACCCCGACCGGGACCGCCTTCCACCTGGAAACCAATGCCCTCACTGCAGGAGAACATGCAGACCAAGAATAGGGCTCCACAGTCACCTATGTACCCACCGCCAGTACACCGATCTTGGATGACAATCCTACTCGGACAACGAGGGATCACCTAAGTAAGTAAGTAAGCCCTAGCATCTTGCAACCTAGCAGTCTGAAAACATGTAATGTGAGTAGATCAATAGATAGCATCACCACTCAAGCAGGGAGCTTTGAAATAGTTGAACAGAGACTCTCTAAAGCTTTAGGTGTTCTTGCTGCCTATTACAGGGAAAACCAGCTGATTCCTAATCCATCTAAGACACAGACATGTGCTTTTCATCTTTAGAACAGACAAGTATCTTGAGCTCTGAGGATTACCTGGGAAGGAATCCCACTGGAGCATTGCAGCGCACCCAAATACCTGGGAGTCACCCTGGACTGTGTTCTGACCTACAAGAAGCACTGCCTGAATATCAAGCAAAAAGTGGGTGCTAGAAATAAATTCTTCCAAAAGAAGACTGGCACAACCTGGGGATCACAACCAGATGCAGTGAAGACATCTGTCCTTCTGCTTTGCTACTCTGCTGCCAAATACACATGCCCAATGTGGAACACGTCCCACCACATTAAAACAGTGGATGTGGCTCTTAATGAGACATGCCGCATTATCACAGGATGTCTACACTCCACACCACTGGAGAAATTACACTGTTTAGTTGGTATCGCACCACCTGGCATCATGGCATGGAAAAAGAGCACCTCCTCTAATGGTCTACTCACATTTGCATGTTTTTGAATTGCTAGGTTGGCAGAAGCTGGGCCTAACAGCAGGAGCTCACCCTGCTCCCTGGATTCAAACTGCCGACCTTTCGGTCAGCAAGTTCAGCAGCTCAGTGGTTTAATCCACTGCACCACACTTTAGTCCAGTCTAAAATGTACACTGTGGTACAAACAGGACACTTAAAATAGCCTTTGAAGGTGCTGAGTACTTTCAGAAACATGCACACTTGGCCCTTGGTGGACCCTTCTCCCTCCTCAGGTGTTTGGATGCCTCCTTCATAAAAATGGATAAGGGGAGGCCAGTTGTGTGTGGAGACAAGGGCCACACTCCATTCCCATTCACACCTTGATCAGCCCTAGAAAAATAAATTACTCGTAGGGGCAAAGAGTAAGGACCAGGCACTGTCTCTGCATTATTTATTCTGATATACTCAACTCTAACGCACACCTTTTTTGGCTATATCAACTTGCCAAAATTATGGTGTGCATTAAATTCGCGTAATAGAGTAATCTTAGTACTGAGCCAAAGCAATATGGGAAGCTACTTCAGAAGCACCTGGAGCTTCTATTTGAGGGATGCCATGTGTAATGTAATTGCCATAGCTCAATGCTATGCAATCCTGGGATTTGTAGTTTGATGAGGTATCAGCACTCTTTGGCAGAGGAGGCTCAAGACCTTGCAAAACTGTAGCCCTCATGACTCCATAGCATTGAACAAAGGCAATTAAAGTCGATTCATTCTAAAACATAAATGCACTCTCAAGGTTTCTTTTTCATTACTTAAAGTTTTGGTGTTCCAACACAATTGTTTTTTTTAAAGGAATTCTCAGTAGGCAGCAACTGTAATGAGCATATTACAAAGAATGCACACTTTGCTGCTTTGCATTACATTTGCCAGCAAATATTTTTTTTTTGGTTTCAGGGTTTTGAAAATTGAGGTGCATATTTGATTCGATGGCACATTAGACCTGAGTAACTATCGTATACAATGTCTTCAATTTAACACTCAGGAAAGGAGGCAGCAGGTGCAATCTCTTCCCATTGAACACTCTGGATAACTCATGGATTTTTTAACCTCTGTACAGAACTTGAGTGAAGAGTAAAGATCGCCCTGTCACATACCAGGATTACAGCTACTTACTTGAGACTGTGCTTGACATATTTGGTTTGTCCCATCCTATTGTGTTCAAGGTAGCTACCATTAGTTCTACACAACAGCCAGAACTGAAATATACAAACTTTGAGACACCACTTGGTCTGCAGCTCTTCAGACATACTCCATGGATGTGGTTTGGGAATAAGGACCCACTGTAGATGAAGATCTGTGTAGATACTTTATTCAGCCAAATTAGAGTAGAAATATGAATTGTGTGAGAGGCTCTACTACAGCATATAGAATGAAAGAGTTATCTGAAATACTTCAGTGTATAGCAAATCTGCAACTTCCAGGGGGACCGACAGTCATGTTACTTTCCTATAACAAAAAAAATAATAACAACAGAGCCTTGTAAGCACTTTAAAGGCTAACTTATTTATTACGGTTTGAGATTTTGCAGTCTATAGTTCATGAAATCATAAGCCATAAAAATACTGCAAGGCTCTTGGTTTTTTTTTTTTAACTTGGTGACTCAACCCACTTTTATTGCTGGTTCAACCGAATTTTGACATCTCTGCTGTGGTGCGGTAAATGAAGACTGTTGCAAATTGAGCATAAATCAGTTTTTGTTGTGTCATGTGAACTTGGTGTATAGAAGAGGAGGTGTCTCCTATTTCTCCAAAGCATATAGAATATCATGACGGCCCCCATTTTAATCTGCCCTAGATGCAAGCACTTTTAAAGCTTTAATTTCAGGTTATGAAATTTAATCATAATGTGTGGAATCCATGAAGTAGCACACAGTTCATAGCTGGTATTCTGTACCTGCTTATCCCTCATAGAAACAGTATATCATGACGTTAGAGAAAAGGATTTAAAAAAATAAAACCCGGAATGTATTTAATCAGATTTACTCTGTATCATATGAAATTTTATTTATTTATTATTTATTATGTATTCGATCACAAGGCATTATGCAAGTAAATCATTTTAAACAAACATTTAAAGCCATAAGAATAATTTAAATGAACTGAAAACAAAGCAGGTAGACAAGATAGAAAAAGTTAAGAAGGTTAATTTAAAACCATGGATGTAAATATTTTAGAATAAATCAATTAGGTCCCAAAGGCCTTAGTACATAGGCATATTCTTACTTGGTACATAAACATGGAGACGTTAAGCCTAGTTTCCCATTAATGGAAAAGGCTTACTAAACCCTTGCCCAACATATTGTCATGTTAATTGTCTCATATATACATGCCATTGTTAACAAAGTAAAATCTTCAGACCCACATCTGAGTTCTTTCTCCAATTTCA